GCCATCTGAAGCAAAGAGCGAACTTCCTGCGGACACTTTTTTGGCTGAGTGGCCCATCTTGTTATGTACTATCTTTGATACAACAAAGCAAGTAAACGAAATAAAATAAGTGAATAAAATAAAAAAGATAAATGCAATAAAGCAAGTGAATGAAATAAAAAAAGTAAATATGTCATTTAAATAATTGAATAGGGCCTACATTATAGCAAGACATACTTTGCTATAAGAGCATGTGATCTATATAAAAGTATAAAACATTTAAATTGAGCTCTTTCACTATCGCGAGCCATATGTTCCACAGCACCTGTTACTCTCAACACTGGACCAAGAGCCGCGTTTCACGACTCACTTTCTGCTACAAAACAGGTCTTACTTTTTTAATAATTAAAACTGAAATCTCAGGCTGAAGAATGATCATTTTTAGCAACATGTTGAGATAGGTCATAGTTCCCCTTTATTTTCATATATAATACATGTGGTTAATATTGAAAATTGAACTCAAAATCTTTAATTTGTCAGAGAGTAGGCAGAATGAGCACGAAGGTCACACATAAGACCCAGTCCAGGGTAGTGAAAGAGTTAATATGTCTTTGGTGCTTTGTGTACTCAAAATCTCCAGCTTGGCAAAGTTAGAACTGAAATAGTTTCCAAAAATATAAAAATAGACCAAAGTCAATTATTTTTTATGTCAACTGTTTCAATTTACAGAGGACCAAAGGAAAAAATACCAAAAGGATGCTGATAAGCAACATCGTAAATGCCAAGCTTTTGGGAACAGCTAATACCTTCAAGATGAAGTGAGAAAAAGACCCAACAACTAAAGCGTGAGAAATGATACAAATTTTTAACACATTTTAAAAAAAAGAATAAATGTATTTGTTTGATGCATAACAACTCACAGAACCCCTAACAACCTAGGTCTAAACAAAGGAAAAAAGAACAGGATGAACCCAACATTTCCAATGAACATTGAGTAAAAAGAAAAGTTTTAAATTGCTGACACTATCGATCATTTCTATCTATTGATCTAACATTTATCAAACTCTAGTTATCTGTAACAAAAGGGGAGATCTGTTCGCTGGTTGCTGCTGGGAGTTTTTAACCCTTTGATCCCTGACCTCCTGAGGCTACCGTGCCCCTCTGCCTAAGCTCCTGAGTGGTTCACGCCTATATTTCTCACAATCATATCATCTTTTTTATTTTTGGTAAGTGTTTTACGGCGCTCGTAACTGCATAAAGGGCATATGAGCATGTGGGACACATTAAACTTTTTCAGTTGGTAGGAAATTTTGGATTTTGCCTGGGTGGCGGCCGAAGCCTACTCTTATCGATTTTAAACCACCAAGGGATCTTTAAAGTACATAACTTGCACACCGGTCCTCCGAGATTTTTCGCCCTTGTCCAAGAAGGCTAGGTGTAGATCTTTCCTACCAGAAGATCAGGGATGTGGCTGAAAGACAGCAGTAAGAAGGAGCCAAGGAGTAGCAGTAGAAAGGCTGCAGAAAGAGTCAGGAGCCCAGAGGAGGGGGCAAAGGAGGTGAAGGGTTGGGGGCAGAAAGAGGAGACGAAAGCAGACGACAGAACATTGCTAAAGAGCAGGAAAGGAGGTGAAAGAACACAATTTTAGAGATGAACATTTTTCAGTCGACACCCGGATTTGAACCCGGGACCTTTGAATGAGAGTCCAACATCTTAACCTCTAGGCCACGAGAGCTCCCATTCATATCATCCTCAGAATCACATTCCATATACCACTCAGAGTAGTCCTCCTATTTGCCAGCATCTAATTCAGACAGATCTTCAAAATAATCAGTAACATCTTGTGTAGTAGGCCTAAACACTGTTTTCTGTGCACGTTTTCTCACAGACGGGCCGGATTGGGGAGAGGGTCTCACTGGCTGGTGTACTGGCGGCGGGCATATGGGCAGTTTTAGGTGCCAACGTTAAGGTTCTCCATCCATCTGGCTCCATCAAGTCGGCGATGGGTGCTATTAAATTTTGACGTTTCATCTCTTAAATAAACTCACAGTGTTGAAAGGGATGTTAAACTTATACAAAGATCAACGATCCACAATAACAAAATCATTCATATTGCAACCTGAAACTAAATACAGGTCAAGGTACAGAGGTAACATCCACAGCGGACCCACCAGGTCTTTCGGAGGTCCACACCGCGCCACGGCGATGTACCACCAGCGTTCCCGTGAGGACCGGAATGTTCTCTGACCCACACAGTGGTACCACGTGTCCCCACCTTGGTTGAACAAAGTGCAGCCAGCATATCTGGAGAAGTTATTGTTAGTTCAGTTTCATTTTTTTTTTTTATATGTGAGGCATCATGGTGAAATCAGGTGCTCATTAAAATAATGAAATTGAAGAGACCGCCATTTTTCTACCTGTTTGGATATTATGGATATTTTAATCCATTTTCTAGCTCTTTTTATCTCCAAAACCAGGCAACCCCACCTCCTTCAATTGCAAATATTTTTTTTTTTTCAAAAAAAGCAAAACAAATGAACAAGCTTGAAGATGATGCCAATAACTCCAATACCCCAAAACTGACGAGCGCCTGATTTCACCGCTTCATGACACATATGAGTAAAGAAAAGCAGATTGACATGATGACCATCACTAAGTGCATGAAAAAAAACAACCCACAAGCAAAATAAATGGACAGAAAAGGAGAGGGGGAAACAAGAAGAAGCACGACCTACTAGTGGTGCCATCCAAAACCAGATTGTAAAATGCTTGTTCTGCATCAAGACAATGTATTTTTGCTTAAATTTCAGGTACTCTTTCATTCTCGTTGACTGGATCCTGAAAAAAACGGGGACAATCTCTCTCTCTCTCTCTCTCTCTCTCTCTCTCTCTCTCTCTCTCTCTCTCTCTCTCTCTCTCTCTCTCTCTCTCTCTCTCTCTCTCTCTCTCTCTCTCTCTCTCTCTCTCCCCCCCCCCCCACCCCTTTCCTCTCTCGCATATATTCATGAAGTAATTTTTTCAAAAACATCACAGATTTAGTAGAAAGTTGCTGACAGTGTTAAAAAGATATAACATCAAACATTCTGGTGGAAATTCAAGCTTTTCCTCTTCCCCATAGCCCTTTAAATTAAAAACTAAGTGTCAAAGAGAATCATGATTTCTTGCAACTTTGAAAAAGAACTGACTATTCAAATCAGTGTTTGTCAAACTTTTTATAGCCAGCACCCACTTTAGCCACCTTTTAAGTTTAAGAAACTTAATTGGTACGTACCCCCTACCTAGCAGGGCATTAAATAATAATTGTCTCTTAACAGAGACTGATAATTAACTAAGACAGAAAGATATGGACATTTCATTTAAATTGAATCTTTGAATCTTCATTTTTAAAAGAAGAAGAATTAAATAAGATTTCCATGTACAGTCGAAATTGTACAGAAAAGGTGGACGTCTTGGACAGAATTGTTAAGTGGGAAGTGGTCATTTCTACAGGTAACTGTCATTGACAGGTGCTCATTAGAGCAGGTACGACTGTTCTACGTTGGGTTTTTTTCATTCAAACAGCAGCTCGGATCAGTCCTTTGATCCACCCACCCACAGAACTCAGAACTCACTTTGAGGTTTGGGTGACACTCGTGTTCAGGGCAAGAATCTGGTTGCTTGTGATGCTCAAAACTGACATCTTTTGGGTGCAGTTCTGGAGAAAACAATAAAAACAGTCTTCTTGAATGAGAGTGCAAATAAATGAAATGTAATAATGAATAAAAAGAATACATGAATGAATGAATGAATAAATAAAAAAACAATAAAATCAATCAATCAATCAATCAATTTTTTAAAAACTTACTACTCACTCAGCCACAGGAGCCCCCAATTCTCTCTCAAAGAAGTTGACTTATTCTCTATATCCTTATGGTGCGTCACTTCATGTGACAGATTATATCAGGGATGGCTACACGCTGCATCATATGATGTGCCAAAAAAAGCAAATATGAACCTTTTAAAGGGGAAATTATTCTCATGTACAACTTTTTAACATTAAAAAAAAATAATCTTTGTTCTTTTGATAACGTTCTCAACAACTATTGTTTCTCATGGACATTTTTATTGCGACATCTGACAATGCAGTGGACCAAGCAAGACATGATCTCCCCCCCTCCCTAAAAAAAAAACACAAAACAAAGCAAAGCATGGTGAAAGTAGTATTTTTTAAATGAATTCTGATCAAGCTCCTTCTCACTCCATGACATTGGGTTGCTGTGCAAAAACAGACATGTTGATGTTTATTATAACATACCTCAACATATTATTAGTGACCTCTGAAACCTGCTGCAATTTTCTTTTAATGCAGTATAAACCTCTATTTATTGAAGAAGAGTGGGAAAAAAAAGACTTTTAATCCAAGACGAAATTAATGAAAACCAAAAACAAGGGGTGGTAATGATTGAACACGCACTTAAAATGCTTATCTTACAATAAAAAGAAATATTGCCGTGAATGTTTAAATGAATTTTAAAAATGCCATTATTATTCCTGAAAACAGACGTGCATAGTGATCAAGATTTTGTAGCGCTGCTTTCATGAACTAATGAAGAGCCCTTCACATGTATATGCAATCCAAAATGGCAACTACAAAATGATGACTAAAACTAGCAACTAACTCGTTGCTACCCCCCTTTGTTGTTTTTGTGACCTTGGACTGACCTTGCCCCTTTTGTAAATTGAGTCCCATTGTCCGGGATCGTCATAGTACATGAGAATCTCCTGAGTTCCATAGCCCTGGAGAAAGACACATCGATGTAAGCAATGTGAAATTATCACATTTACAATACCGTACCTTTCATCTGAATGTCTCATAAAGCACACCACAACTTTACTTAGTAGAAACATGTCAAAAACACTGCAAGGATATGGCCTAAGACAATCTCACAATAAGCATTATCAAAGGAGTATGATGAAAAACTGGAGAGATACCAATTTGCATAAAGTGGGATATGCCAAGCCAGGTGAAATCATAATTAGAGTCCGGACATTTAGAATTCATAGAGGCACAAATGCCAGGATCAAACATCTCTACCTTAGAAAGTAACCTTGAGCAAGATTATCAACAACTTGACCAGCAATCTTTTCAGTAGCATAATTGTCCAACATTATAATACTGTCATCTATCTTTCCTGGCCTACTTACTTGGTACATCAAAGTTGTAGGACAAGAAAATGTTATTCTCTGCTTTTTTGTTTTTTGTTTAAGTTTAAAACTTTATTAGATGTCATAATTTGCAATTTTTTAAAAGTCATACATATCCCCAATGAGTAATAACCGATGAAATTTTAGAAGACTAAAAACATATATTTAAAAATTTCAATCTTTAACTTCTGCTTGACAGTCAGGTTTGTCACTCACCTCAAGGAAATCACATGTATGAACATGTCAATAGAAGCACTACAATAATTGATCAGCCCTTGAAGTAAAGAAAGCAATTGTTGTGTATATTTGTCTCATTATCTGATGGAGAGGGAATCTCTGCGGATTTATTTCCCACATGATTCTTTTAAGTACACACTTGACTGTTAAGATGTGCTGTCTACAAGATGCTCCTCCCTTAGAAGTCTAGTGTATAGGTGTTTAAAGCAGTCCAGTCTACATTGGCGAGTAGTGATGGAAAGTCAGGCAACATACATACACAAAGAACGATAATTCCCTTGCAAAAACTCAAGCCTCTGTCTTCTGTCTTTCTGTCCTGGGCAACGTCATTGCACACCGGACAGGTCCATAAGTTCTCAGTTCCCCCTAGCACCAAAGCCCGCAAGGTATCCATACTGATTGTTCCGGTGGCTGTCTGATAATGGCGACGTCTTTCCTTTCCAGAAAATCGTTCCTTTCTTCCTTCTCCCCTCTCTATCCCCATTTCTCAAGCCTCTGTATGATACAGTACTCCCTGCAACTAGTCAACAATGATTATATACCAACAAACAGCGGCCTAGGTCAAAGTCACCACAATGGACTTCATCTAAAACTCCTTTGGGCAGGGCCCAGGAATTCTCAGTTCAGGCCCTGTATCTTGGAGGGTTGGCTCCGGCATTGGAGGTCGGGCCCAATCAAGGAGGGTCAATGCGAAGCGGCAATAGACAAGTGCGCTGGTGCAGGTGATGGAGCATTCACGCACTGTACTCACTAGACTGGTCGGTAGCGAACCTCAGTGCATTTTTGTCATTGTTGCTTTTTTGTGAGAGTTTATTGGCTCTTGTAACAAAGGAAAATCACATCAGTGACAGAGTGTATCAATTGGTCAACATAAAAATGAATTACGTTTGCATTTTACCATGAAATACAGACCGTGGCATATTAGTGGGTTAGTTTTGTTTCTTCACTTGCAACGGATACAAGAGACATCGTTCTCATTCTGTGCTTTAACAAATATGAAAGAATATTAATCTGACACACACACACACACACATATA